AAATATGTTTTATGTTATCAGATGAAGAAATTGCTGCTGATGGTGAGGAAGAGAAATTGCCTTCGTTTCAATCTATTGTCGATGGAGGAGATGAGGATTAAAGATGAAGAGGAGCATGTTTGAAATGTTATTTTGATTTGGTGTTTTCCTTTATTACAATTTGAAATTTCATTTTTAAGTTGTTTTTTGTTTTTGTTTTTGTTTTGAGTACATTGATTTGGTGTTTTTCTAATTTCAAATTTGGTTCAGACTTTACATTTTATATTCTACATGCATTTTATCCTCATTTAGTAATCCTAACTTTATCAATGGAGAAAAAAGGACATGAAGTGAATGTTAATGTAATTTTCTAAAGAATGTAAATGTATTTTTATAGAAAATTTTGTGAGAATGAATAGCAAATTGAATGCATAATGTGCTTGCATGTATGTTGTGGAGCAGCCTGAAGCTCTTACACCTCCCTGAAGCGCCGTGGAACAACTTGGAGCAGTCTGTAGCTACTTCGACGTTTGGCCCGCGGGACGGCCCGTATAAGCCTGTGCAATGCTGCGGGGCGGGATTGGGCCGACCTTCTGCAGACCGCAGCCCGCGCGGGACAGGACCGCAGAGACCCGCGAGAAGTCAATCCCGCCGCGGTAAGGGACGGGACGGGACGGCCTGTTTGACAATGCTAGTTCATTCTTTCACTATCATCCACCAATCTTTATGTTTGTGTAGAGTCTTATACATGTTAAAAATTGAGAATAGTCACGCAAAACGTTTATTAAAATACAAATGCAACTCAACCGGTTATTTACTTCTTTTTTTTTTATCGACACTCATCTTCTAAAATCAAGTGGTAGTTGGGTCTGAGTCGTTCCGAAGAGACGCTCTGTCCGGCTGGATCTGATCTATATGAAAAAAAAATATTACTATATCTCGCCTCCTTTACGAGAGAATCTGCACGCAAATTCTTATTTCTGGATATATGGGCGATACTAAACTCAGCAAATCCATCCTTTAGAATTCAGAACGAAACTAACTCAGGTGCAAAGGTCGGCCAGTCGGATGGAGAAGAGATCATGCTCACCAACCTGGTATTTACTTATTTTGTTAGAAAATATTGATATTTTTCTAATAATTTATCTACGTACTAACTTTTTATTTTGGTAAAAATGTAAAGAAAAAAAATGATTATAATCTATGTACTAACTTTATATAACTAGGTCAGCTTTTGCTATTTATGGAACACTAGATCACATATTACACAATAATTTGTTGTCAGACGATCGATTTTAACTTGGAGATTAGATTGGTACTATACTAACATGTAAGATGCAACTCTGACAGATGAGATCGAGTTATTACAGTACAACATCATAAAGACTTCAGTTGATATATTTCTTTTATCTTTTATTACAGTGTTACACGCGTCTATCTCTTTAGCCACGCGCTTCTCCTCCCTCCTTTACGCTCACGGGATCTCTCTCTCTCTCTCTCTTTCCATTGCTGTAGCTATAGATCTTCTTTCTTCTCTCTCTCTGTTTTCGCTAGATGCATCCACCACCTGTCTCCGCGATTTGATGGACAAGGAGAAGCTCCTCCTCCTCTAATAAATTAAAATACAAAGGAGAAGCTTGTCCTCCTCTCTCTTGCTTCTTCTTCTTTCTTCTCTTTATTTTCCCCCCCTCTGCTCTCTGTCTTGTGCTTGATAACAAGATGGCGCGAAATCTGCTTTGGGTTGTTGTTGTTGTTGTTGTTGTCTCATGTCTTGTTTGGACACTGGAAGCTAGTGAAGGAGATGCTGATCCTCTTTACAAGTAAGTCTCTTCAAGAACCTTTGTTTTGTATTCCTAGATTCTATGATTGTTCTCTGCTTGGTTCGTTTGAGAGTTCCTTTCTAAACTAGAAAAATGCATTCGCTTCAGGTTTCTTGGATTATTCTTGAGAGTCGACCGTTAGATTTTGTTATTACAGGACCCGTTACTGACTTTCGAGTTCATACAAGAACCTTTGAATCCTCTTTCTGTGTTGTGGAAACAAAAAAAAAATAAAAAAATAAGCAGATTTTGCTTTGTTATGTAAGGAGTGATAATTTTCAATTTGGTAGAAAAAATAAGGGGGAGATTAGATTAGAGCCACAAAGTAGGAAGAAGTGATAAAAGGAGATGGTGGGGAAAAAGATTAATAACTATGTGGTTGACTTTTCAAGATCATTTTTGCAAACTCTTGTGGTGAGAGTTGGAACACGTTAGAGTATAAAATCTTTGTGTGTGTGTGTGATTGCACAAGCCCTTGATTTTTAACTGTAGGGTCATTATGTTTGTTTGAAAGATTAAATAGGCAACAAATTAATAAAAGGGACTTGGAGGTTGCAAATGGAATGAAAGAAATGAAAATAAGAGTAGAACTTGTTAACAAGGTGTGATATAGACCAGTTGATTTGCCTAAGAGAGGGCTTTGTTGTAATAACGTCTTATGCATGTGTCCTTTATATGCTAAATGACTTAGTTAGAGAAGTTAGCAGTGTTAATTAATATGGTGATTGATTTTTCAGGTCATGTGTTGATCAATGTCAGAAAACTGGATGTGTGGGGGATACTTGCTTCCATCAATGTAAATTTTCAGCTGATGGAAAAGCCATTGACGGTCCATGGTACATGCAAGAGCCACTTTACCTACGTTGGAAACAATGGGATTGCCAAAGTGATTGTCAATACGAATGCATGATGACTAGAGAAGAAGAGAGGAAAAGAGATGGAGAGAAACCTACCAAGTACTTTGGTAAATGGCCACTCAAACATGTCTATGGCATTCAGGTAATGTCTTCTCAGCTTCAAGAAACAAATGTTTAGCAGTATGGTTCCTAGCTCATTTTTATTTACTACAATCTCTAGGAACCTGTCTCCGTTGCTTTCTCTGCTCTAGACCTTGCAATACAGTTCCATGGATGGGTCTCTTACTTCATTCTCGTTTACTATCACTTGCCTCTCCAACCAAACCGGAAAGTTTACTACGAGTATAACGGTTTATTGCATATCTATGCCATCATTGTAATGAATGCACTCTTCTGGAGTGGTGTCTGTCACAGCAGGTAACATTCATCTATCTCCATGTTCCAATCTCTACACCTAGACAGTGACAAAAAATCGTGTATTGATCCAAGCAAATCCATTATATTATTAAAAACGAAAAAAATCTGACATTTAAAAAAATAAAATTATAATGCCATTTGCTCAAATAAATTTTTTTATTTTTCTATAATTCTTTTCATAATATTATAATACAATTAAAATTGTGATATAAAATGGTGATATAAAATGGTGATGCCATAAGCAACCAGTTCCTTAGTATATAGAGATGGTCAAGTCAGTCTCACTTTTTTTTTTTTTTTGAACTTTTTGTATGTAGAGATGTTGAATTGACAGAGAGGCTAGATTACTCTTCAGCTACAGTGTTGGCTGGTTACACACTAGTTCTAGCTGTAATACGGTCTTTCAGTATACATGATCAATCTGCCAAAGTCATGGTTACTGCACCTGTTCTTGCACTTGTAGCAACTCATATCATTTACCTCAATTTCTACAATCTTGATGAAGGTAATGATCTTCTTAGCCTCTAAGAGCATGTTTATTATAGGTCTCTTAGATTGGGTCTCTTAGCGTAATATAAGATACGGTTTCTTAATTTTTAACTATAAAATCTAAGAGACGTCTTTTATATCTTTTATTTAAGAGACGTTTTTAGTTAAACGTTTTTAGTTAAACGTTTTTAGTTAAACGTTTTTAGTTAAAAGCTAAAAGACCGTATCTTATATTACTACGATAAAAGACCCAACCTAAGAGACATGCTCTTAGGGCTCTCTTGTTCAAAATGCATGTCACTTTCTCACTCTCTATAACTTGACAGGGCTTCACAGGAAAGTTATATACGGTATAGGAGGAGTAGAGCTAGTGGTGTGGGGTTTATGGGCAGCTTTAACGTCGCATCCATCTAAGTGGAAGCTAAGAGCTTTTGTACTCTCGTGTATACTCACAACGTGTTTGAGAATGCTTGACTTCCCTCCTTACAAAGGCTATGTTGATGCTCATACTCTTTGGAGAGCTGCAGGGATCCCTCTCTCTTATCTTTGGTGGAGTTTTATCCGTGAAGACGCGGTTTTCAGAACTACTGTTCTTCTCAAGAAATCAAAGTGATGATTGAAGACACTTTTTTCCTGTCTTTTTCCGGTGAGTTTCTCTCCGGTGTTCAGAAAGTTGTTTTTTTAGGTGTGTTTTCGCAGAAGAAGCAAAGTGTTTTGTTCTTCTGTGGTGAAATCTTGTTAATGTTTTTGGGGTCTTCTGCTCTTTATGTTTTATGGTTTTTTTTTTCTCTCATGGCTCGTTGGCCGGGAGTTTTATGATGACTTTTCGAAAGTCTTTTTTGTTTTTTTTTCCTCAGTGTAAAAAGAGAAAAAAGAGAGTTATGTTTATATGTTTTATTTACCTCTAGTGATTGGAGATTTTTGAAACTTAATTTGCAAAGCAGCAAAATAACAGAGACAATTAGGAAACCATCAAAATATGAAACATTGCCAAGATATGAAATAATCGATAACCAATTAAAAATGGGTACAATCTTCCAACATGTTATACAATCATCTTGTCTCCATATAGCTCTCAAACCTTTTTTCATTTAACTAAACACTGCAAGTTTTCCAAATTAAAATCAAAACAAAAAGGTTTAGTAAATTTTAGTTTTATATTTAAACTAGATTTTGATCTGCGGCAACCGTGCGAGTGTTTTTATCAAATTGAATTGAGGCAGTTGTAAATTATTTCAGTTTGCATGGTGGATATATTAGATAAGTAACTTGTAATTTGATAATTCTATACAAATCATAAAAAAAATTTAGTATTTTTGTTTGTAGAATATATTCACTTTGTTTTAACATATGACCCTTTAGAGAATTATCTTCACTTCAAATTAGATGACGTTACCAATTTCCAATGCAAGTTTATTCATTTTTTTTTCTTTTTAGATAACTTTTTTCTATTCTCCCGTTAACGTTTTTATTTGTTAACAATGATTAGGTGAATAGTTAATGATGTTTTTGGTTAGATAAAATAGAAAATTATTTTTTTCTTTAATTTGTCTGAACAAATAAATTTTCAAAGTAAGAAAAATGAAAATAGTGTAATTTAGTTGATTATATATATTAGTACGTCTATATTTTTAAATACATTTGTTTGACACAAAAAATATGTTATATTTTTCTCTATTATATAGATTATTATTTCTTTATATGTCAAATTATTTTTCAATTTATATTTAAAGTTTGAACATCATTCTAGAGATGATATTAAATATATATTATAAATTATATTTAATTTAGTTATATGATTATAAACGGATTCTATTATATGTTTTAGAATATTATTAATTTGATAAAAAAATGTTACTAATATTAAAAAAACAATCACATATTGTGATACTTTTTTGACACCATCAAAATAATTACATTAATCATATATTATGGTTGCATAACATAATACTAAAAATAATATGCACTATCATATGTATATATGCTCATATATTATGATTGCATAACATATGGTTTTTTTGTTAGTGAGATATCTACAAAATTGTTAATGGCCTACAAAATAATTATATATGTTGTTAATAATTATAAGATTAATAACTTAAAATATTTTTTTTATAAATCAGTTGGTACATTTAGTTATATTTAATTTAGTGGTCTTGAATACAAAATCTTTATGTTGCATAGTAAAAAAATTTGAGATTTTCCTTAAAAATAGTATATTATTGGTTTATTAAGATATTAATAAGAAATAGTTCTGACTATATTTATTATCAAAACTAAATGATAGGATAATTAAATGTGATGATTTTCTAAGAGATAATCCAAAATGAAATATCACACATGAAAAAAATCATGACTTCTATTTTAATATATAAGATAGAATTAGACATATCAAACATTTACTATGACACCTATCACCTAATGACATCTATTTATTAAGAATTACTAAATAAGACTATATATGAGAAAAATTCAAAAAGAATAAATTTAATATTTATCCAATAGTACAATCTAACAAGTATGTAAGAAAATTTGGTTGGTAAGCAATCATAAATTTGATACTAATAAAATCATTGAACAAAATGATTTTCAAACCATCTCAAGATCAATACTATTAAAATTGGATCATGACCAGTTGATATTAGTTGGATCCTTTAAAAAAATACAACTGTATTTAAAATATAACTGCATAACTAAAATATAACTATATCTATATTATATTAGTATTATTAATACATAAATCAGTACGATTATTATTTTTGATTTTAATTTTTGATGAACACTCAAACGCAGAAATCCAGCCCTATTCTTCAAATCTCAATCGAACCTGCAAATAGAAGTGTGTAAACAGTTTATGAGATTCATGGTGACTTACCATAATCGGCCACTAAATTGAAATCATCAATTTTTTTTTTTTTTACTTTTTTTGGGTTTCTATAGGTTAAAATCCGGTATTATATGTCAAATCTGCAAGTTTTAACGTAAAAATAACGAATACGCATAATAATGGATGGATTATATAAGAAAAATAATGGGGGCTGTAAAAGTGTTCTGCGTAACCTAATTCGAATGGGGAAGACGATAAGAAAAATTACGGTTATGCCATTAATTACGGTTACGGCCACAATACATTTTTGTATTGTTCATGTACCTTATTATTTACTATATCTTATATGACCGTTTGATGTTAAGTGTATGCTTGATTAGATAGCATAGGTTTAATGAATTTACACTGTCTAATTCATCATGCTATGAATAATTAATCAAGTATGTTTAAAGCGGAAGTTATAGCCTATATTACTCTATTCAACGTATAGACTATCTATATGTATGGGTAAGAATTTAGGTTCGGCTCTGACAATTCAGATATTGGTTTTTAGATGAAGGTTAAAACTCTATCTTGATATTTATAAATTTTAGTTTAGATTTAGTTGGATAATCACGGGTTCGATTCGAATAAGGATACTCATTTAAATTATGCAACAAAAAAAAAATCTAATTATATCATATATTTTGTCAAATCAAGATTATGATCTATTGATATATGTTTAGTCCAACAAATTTGTAACCATTACTTCCATAATGATTGGAATTCACTAATTTATTTTGTAACCACCACTTTAATAACTTATATAACTGGTTCCTTTTGTTTTTTTTTTATTACAATGGTAACATGATTTTTATTTACATTAGGTCAAAATTTACAAATATCATTTTTCATTGCATGAAAAAAATTTCTGTGTATTAATATGTGTAAACTTTATTTTTATTATATATGAAATTAAATCATGAAAAAATAATTAAAACATATCATTTTATCTATTTAATTCCTATTTGATTACCAAACAAAAATTTAATTATACTTCTGTTTTTTATAAAAAAAATAAATGTTTAGGAATAAAGTATAAAATTAATATGTAAAATGACTATGGCATAAATGTATAATTTTGCAACATCAGAAGTTCAATACAATTATCAAAATTACTTACTAATCATTAAAAAACATTTTACAAAAATATAATTACAAAGAAAAAAAACAAATATGATTATAAATAAAAAAATACATATGAAATTCCTAAAATAAAATGTAAAACAAAATATATACCCGCCCTTAAAAGGGCGGGTCAAAATCTAGTTTATTGGTAAATCTCATTAAATGTCATTAATTTAGGAGTTACTCTAGATTTTGTATATGAATTAGCACGAAGTATTTTGAAGTAGTGGTGTTTATGTTTAATTTTGTTTTCGTGAAAACTTTTTTGGCTCGTCTATCGTAGCTCTTGTTTTGAAGTATTTTAATACTTTTGTAATAACCTAAAATGATTATTAAGAGAAAAAGCTAAGGGAATATTAGTAGGAATTAGATTTATAATGATTTTTAGAATTGTTAGATTCTAGTGTTATGGTTTATAGATTCTCTTTCTCACCTAAATCTAATGTTATTTATATAATAATTTTATAATTCTATAAAAAATCATTAGTTATTCAAAAAGTTTAGATTTTATGATTTTATATAATGTCATTAAAAGTTTATAATATCTTATACAAAATCATTAGTTATTCAAATTTTTAGATTTTAATGATTTTATGTAATGTCATTAGAACTCTTGTATATAATTCAAGGATATTTTTAAGCAACTATAATCCAAAATATTTCTTGTTATCTAACACCCATACCAGCTTAATCACTTGTATATTTTGATATAAAGTTTGGAATTTGGTTTCTTATAAATACAAAAAAAAAATTAGGAGATGTTAGCGAGATTTAGATTTCTATAGATTTTGTTGATTTTAAAAATTGAGAGATTTTTTAAATTCGGAAAGAGTTGTAGAGAAATTTGTATATTGTGAAAATCTATGAAAATAAAGTTGTAATCATTTTAAGAATTCAAAAGGAACATGTAGTATTATCAAAAAAAAAAATTTGTGAGTTAAAATGTTAAAAATTCAACTTCCAATAACACTTACTTTAATAGATTTGTAGAATCATTAAGATCTAAACTTTTTGAACAACAAATAATTTTGTATAAAATTATAAATTCATCAAATCAACACTAAATTCTAATGAGAATGTGAAAAATCTATAAACCAATAACAGTAAACTTGAAAATTCTTAAAAACATTATAAATTCAATTTCCACTTATACTCTTTGCAAAGAAAAGTATGTGTTTTTTTTCTCAAATTACTTTTCAATTTTGTTTGGAGGATTGACTACTTCAAATAATTTTTGATCCATTTAAAATACTTATTTAAACTTTGAATAATACACAACCCTTTTTAAACTATACATAACTCATTAACCAGACATAAAAGACACACATCAAGCAGATATATAATATAGTTACTTATACAGTTTCCCAACATAAGTTATAATCTTTTTTTCTCAAAATGAAGTTTATTCGCTATATATTGCCTGGTTTTAAATCTCAAACAACATATTATTATTTATTTAGTATGAAAACAAGTTTAATAAAATACATTTGTTCACCAAAGAAAAGAAAATCCTTTTTTTTTCCTAAAAAAGGAAAAAAACTTTAGAAAACTCGTCCATCTACATACACGTATGTGCATATTGTATATTCACTCGTGGCATGTATTTCTCATATTTTAATTGTTTAGTTTCTAGATAAACCATTTGGAGAAATTACAGTAATGACAGCAAATGATTAATAAGAAACAGAGCCGTCTAATAGCATTTGTAAGTGGAATGGTCGAACATGGTCTCAAATATAAAAATAAAAAAATAAAAATAAAATAAAAGAAAATTAAGAATTTTTAAGCAATATATAGATAAATTATAATAATTTCTTTTTTAAAAAAAATAGATATATTCCTAAATTAATAATTTTTAAAGAAACATCAAACATAGTTATTAATTTTTTTAAAAAAAATTCATTAAATCATAAATATATCATTATTATTTTTTGAACAGAATCTAAAATTTATTTGAGACGGCTATGGTCAGAATCAGTATACGCTTAGAGGTCAATGCAAAAACATTTATATTCAGTCAAAAAAAACATTGATATTGTAATCACTGATTATAATATGCCTGGTTTGAATGGTGTGCAACTTAAAGAGAAGATTAAAGAAAAATTTGGAAAATTATTGGTAAGGGTTATATTCTTCCCATTTATCGAACGTTAATTGCTTTTCTTTTCCTATCAACAAGTTATGTTTTCTACTAGACTCTGTTTCTTTTCACTCCATTTTACAATCAATTTGTTCAAATGGAAACACAAAAATAACGATTTTATATGATTAGCTACATATGCATCCCTATAATGAAAAATAAGTGTTGAACGATGACAAGGCACCATGGTAACTATTCCTTGTACTTAATTATTTTTATTTTGGGTGATAAATATAACTACGTGTCCCTTAATAGAAACAGGACTTATGTGAGTGGTGACAAAAAAAAAAAAAAGAGAAAATTTACTTGCGACTATTTTTAAGATATATTATTAAATTGCATTGATCAAAATTGCCTGGATTCTTTTTTCTGATAAATATTTTCCAAATCTAAAACGAGAAATATTTATTTCTATATAAAGGGACCTGCTTTTATAAAATATATGGATGGTAGCTTAAAATGATAAAATAGTCAAATAAATTAATCTTTTTCTTTATATACACCTACTGTGTACATTTGACAGCTAAGGTAAACCAATATTACCCTATTAAATTTTACAGATTTGACCACAAAAAATTCCATACATATAAAAAACATACCAATGCGATAAGAAAATCTTGCAACGAAAAACTAATTATCAAAGAATCACAGGTCAGTGTTGAAAAGAAGAAGAAACCAACATTAGACGCCACTAATTGTTATGCAATATTTCCATACACAGTGACATTGTTGTTGATTATTTGTTCGTTAATTTGTTTTTCGTATAATCTCAATTGATGATGCTAACAACCTCCTTTCCGATTTTTTTGTGTGTTTGATTGATTACTACAGTGATTTTCAGCAGACATGAACAATGAAAATAAACAAGAGATGTTACCCTCTGGAGCCCCGTGCTTCATCAAACCAAACGATCTCAACACTGAAAATGATTTAAGCCACAAGATTACCGGTAATTTCATATCAATCCCATGACTCATATGATACGAAAAACAATCTCACTGTTTCTCCTACCAGCAGTCTTTACACCGTTTGATACAAGATATGTTTTGTTATGTATTATACATATTACATGTAATTTAGCTATACATGTTAATCAGATACAGATGATTCAAAGAAAATCGAGGAGACAACTACAAGTAGCGATCCGTGTGATGGAGGAGGTTCTTCATCACAGGCGACTAAAAAGTTTAAGCTCAAATGGACGCAAGCACTTGAAGATCAATTTGAAAAGGCCATTGAATTCATTGGTATTCATAGTGAGTACTTAAATATCTACTATTATATGAAAATAATAATAATTTTATGGTGTTGATAAACTATATTTTAGATAATGAATAGTGGCCACAAAATTTCACTTAGAAAATTACATTTTAATTCATTTTATTAGTGTAGAAAGATAACAATAATACGATTGTTGCGCGTAAGTTATAAAATAAAATTCATGTGTTATACTCAACTGTAAACAAAATTATCGTTTCTAAATTGCATTTTCAAAGTATCTGGATCGGTATATATACTAATATTCCGTCTTTTGTTCTGTGTTTAATGTAATTTTGAAGAGGTCACGCCTAAGCAGATTTTAAATTTCATGAACCTGAAATTCCTCACAAAAGCACACATAGCCAGCAAATTACAGGTTCGTTCATCTATCATACTGCTTTTAAAACCATATGTCATTGTCATTTGATCATAGTTTTCTTTTTTTTTTTTTTGCTTAACATTTTAGTTCAAAGCACATTAAATCAATATGCAATTTTGGATCAAATATCTACATAAAGAAGTATATTCAAGATATAAGAAAACCTAATATACTTCAATTTTACTAATGTTCCCGATTCTTGAATAGTATACACATACATCAATAGTATTAGTTGATTCAGTGAAAGTTGTCTGATGATATGACTAGAAACTAATAGAAAATTAATATTGAGTATAATATATATGTGTGTGTCTAGTATAATTTTTCAGCTCATATTGAGTATACCTTCATAAAACATAAAACTAAAAATGTTGAAACTGTTGACACTACACAGAAGTACCGAAAAAACTTGAACGCTAAGGAGGAAAGCATGAAAAGGGAAAGAATAGCTATGTACCCGGAATTTTCATCAACAGGCGGCTACATCAACCCACAACACTCGTACAACTACAACACAAGGCTAGACAACAAAAATCCTTTCATGGTCCAGCCTGGCTATGGTCTTGGTCAGTCTAGCTCAATGATGAACAACAATGCTGGTTTACATGTCTCTCCCAACTACATGAATAGTAGACCCGGCTATAATTTGAGCCAATCCGGATGCAACCTGTTTCCTGGGAGAGGCAATCTTGCGTTTCAGAATGGTATGTTGCCTCTAGAAGAGAAATGGAGAAGCATTCCTGGAACATCTCAAGATCCTAGTTCTGGACAATATGGTACAACAAGCATTCCTGGAACATCTCAAGATCCTAGTTCTGGACAATATGGTACAACAAGCATTCCTGGAACATCTCAAGGTCCTAGTTCTGGTACTACGGATAGTAGTAATTACGCTGGTGTCAGAAGAGATGAATATGGAAATTTGGTTGGACCTGGTGGAATACGAGTTAATGGTAGAGATAATGGCTCTTTCAGTGGAATAAGGGTTCATGGTGCTGGTAGTGGCTCTCTTCAAGGATTAAGTATTCATGGTAATGGTCATGGGTATCTTGGTGGAATAAGAGGTCATGGTCCTGGTTATGGCTCTTTTGGTGGAGTACAAGTTCCTGGTAATGGTCATGGGTCTCTTGGTGGAATGAAAATCCATGGTAATGATAATGGAATAAGAGTTCATGATACTAGTAATGGTTATAGCTCTTTAAGTGGAGTACAAGTTCGTGGTCATGGGTCTCTTGGTGGAATAAAAATCAATGGTAATGATAATGGGTTAAGAGTTTATGATACTAGTAATGACTATGGCTCTTTTGGTGGAGTACAAGTTCATGGTACTGGTAATAGTAATGGCTCTCTTGATGGAATCATAGGTCATGGTAGTAGTAACAGCAGTGACTCGCTTAGTGGAATAAGAGTTCATGGTACTGATACTAGCTATGTAGATGGGATAAATTTTGATGGTACTAGTAACCATAATGACTCTCTTGGTGTAAATTATGGCACGAACTGGAACTTCAATAACAACAACGTGAGTAAACATGGAAGTTCTACTCCAATGTTTCCTTCTACATTGCCATCGTTCTTAGACAGTAAGGATCAGTCACAAAACAACTTGGTTGCTCAAATTGGTGGTGTGATCCCTGCACTAGACAATCCAAATTTTTTTAATGATCACCAATACAACATCAACGAGGCTTTTCCTAATACAAATAACTCTCAGTTTCATCAGGATCAGGTAGAATAATGATTAATAACTGATATTATTTTAGCTTTCTATTTACTTTCTGAATGTAATGGTTTGATTCAATATGTGCATGATTTTGAGCAGCATCAAGGTGACCTGACTGGTGTAAATTTTGAGGCACATACTGCTTATCCTCTTGAAGACATTAGCAGTTGGAGTTTTAGTGACGTAAGTCATGTTTATGTTACTCTTTTTTCCTTATGTTTTTAATTTTTTTTACCCTTTTTCTTGTTTATTTTATTACATTTCTAATTTGTGTATGTGCATCTATATGATTGAACATTTATTAACCATATATACACAACTAATTATTTGTTTTAAGGGTACCAATAATGAAAAAATATTGAACTCTCCAACTGCTAATCCGGAGATGTATTGTCATCCTACTCAGGACATGAACATTACAAATCAGGTAAATCTGGTTTATATCACTAAGAGATCCTTTTGTGTATGTGTGTCTTTTATGGGTGAACATTTCTTAACGATATATATACGCAATGAAGGGTAATAATCATGAAGATATATTGAATTCTGGTGATGCTAATCCGGAGATGTATTATAATCCTACTCAGGACATGACCATTACAAATCAGGTAAATCTGGTTTATATCACTAAGAGATCCTTTTGTGTATGTGTGTCTTTTATAAGTGAACATTTCTTAACGATATATACGCAATGAAGGGTAATAATCATGAAGAAATATTGAATTCTCGTGATGCTAATCCGGAGATGTGCTTTCCTACTCTGGACATGACCATTACAAATCAGGCAAGTCTTGTTTCTATCGCTGAAAGATTCTTTTTGACCTTAGATTACTTCCATATAAAAAGACATGACAAATAATTAATATTTGAGAACTGATTGCATAGGAACATGGTAGTTTTGACCTAGTTTCACTCGAACTTTATCACCTGCAAGGAAAAAAAAAACAAGTTATATTTGTTAAAATACAGTGACGAAATGTAATTTTCAAGTTTTCATTTTATACACCTCTTTTATATATTATCTATTATATTAAAAGAGAAGTCATGATTCTCTCTATGTGTGATATTTTAGTTTGGATCATCTTTAAGATTTTATAAAATTTTACATAACATTATAATATCTTACCATATCTTTAATTTTTGTTTAAAATACAAATAAATAATTTTAAGAAAATTCTAAGAAAATCTTTAAAAAATCTCTTAGAATATTTTTCAAGATATCGTTTCAACAATTATTTGATTAAAATTTTAATTATCATAGAATCTAATTAAGATTTTAATTCATTTTATTTATAAACAATAAATAAAAACTATGTAAAATACCTTTAACAATATCCCAAATTTTGTTTATATATTATGTATGTCCAACTTAATTTAAATTTTATATAGATTTCAAATTTAGAAATATAACAAAGTATATAAATTAGTAATGTTACATAATATTGTTTTTTAAAATTGTTACAAAAATACAAATTTATAAATTTTATTTTAATAATATTAAAAGTCACATAAAAATTATTATCAAATTAAATCAAATTATACTTATTTATTTCTAAATTTTATTATATAATTTTAAATATTTTCGTATTAAAATACACGACGGTTGTGTGGATCAAAATATAGTATTATATTATATTAAACTTATGAAATGTTACGCTTGGATTACAGGTGCACCCAACTTCTTATATCAAATTTATTTACTGTTTTGTGTTTGTATATTTTATAGGATTATGCCGTTGAAGATATGTTGAACTCTTTGCTCGATCCTGACAGTATTGAAAAAGCTCTCCCAGTTTCACTGACTTGAAAATTTGCATTTAGCATTTTTTTAACAAGTTCGGCATGGTGCTTTCAGTGCTGGAGTAGTCATCATATTCAAAACCGGGGATGTTTGTTTATATGTTTAATTTATTATATTGACAACCTTTGATATATAAGTTTCCTATAAAAATATCTATCTTATTAAAGTAGAAGTACTTTAACCTTTTGTTTGGAAACATGGATAGCAGTATTTAAAATAAGTAAGTTTGGAAACATAGATATCAATATTTAATAAGATCTGGTATTTATTGTTACAAAGATTTGCTATTTATTTAAAATCGTAAATATAATTAATTTTAGTCACTAACAATATTTAAGAATATTCGT